AAAATGCTCCTATATTTTTCCTTTAGTGTAGATACCTGTCTTCAAAGAACTGAATGCAGGGCAGTAACTCATTTCTTGCCCTAGGCAGCATTTGAATAGTCTATTGTGTCTATGACACAAATTACTCTCCTATGGGTTAAGCCAGATTAGAAACTGTGAAACAGAGGTAGAAACCTGGCCTCATCTTTATCAGGCACATCCTGTCCTAACTATTCCCATATCAGAGTTTTAAACATGCTTTCTTAATGAATCATATTATTTTGAAATGTTGTGTTGCCTGTGGTACTTGGTAGTTAAATAGTTGTGATTTGGGTTAATGTTAGGTGGTAACCTGCCAAATGGGAAATTGGTAACAAAATAAAATATGTATCTTGAGCATGTGCTGGTTGAGGATGTTTGAGACAAATAAGGATTATCTCAAACAATAGTAAAAATATCCTCAGAGTTATCATTATTTCTTATTTCCTCTTGCACATTTTCATTGATTTCTTCATTGACCTCAGACCCCAAAGCACATAAGCCTAAAGACTGTAAAACCTGCACACCAATAGTGCACATATTTTTACTGAAAATACCCTTTACATCATACCTGTAGGCCACACTCGATCCTCTGCAACTGAAGAGATGACCAGGCAAGGATTCAAAATGGTAATCCTTTCTTATTGATTTTTCAAAGCAAGTATCACATTACCTTAGCACCACAGCTTTTTCCCATGTGATATGGTAGCATYATTTTTTCCACTGGTAAAAGTAGCTGATTCTGGAATAATCCCCCTTCCAGATATTTCAGAAAGTCTTGGTGAGGAAAGTTTTTAGTGTGTGGGTGAAATGTATCTGGCAGTTAAGGTAGTGTCTTTGATCACAGTAGCTCTGCTTGTTCAGAAATCGGTTGGGGAGCAACCAGACAAGACTCCGAAAGTGGTTAAACCTGTCCATTTTTTAGGAGATAATCTTTCCATAACGTTTGCTCAGAGGCTGTGGAGCAGGCAGGATCAGAGACAGCACAGCTGAAGTGAAGAGTTGCCCTCCAGGAAGGCCTGCCCTTTTAAATGACTTTTTGTACCCCATTGCCAAATCCACACCCCTGCACATTCTGATCCTGCTCTGACACATGACAGTGAGTTGGCAAGTATGKYTGCWGTCAGAAGAGTTCTCCTGTGCCACTGAGCATTAGTGCCTCTCTTTCTCCAAGGTCTGCATGAAGAATCTTGGAAGTGAGCCGAGATCAGGCAGATCTCAGGATCTGAAGGGAGCTGTTGCTTTCCAGAAGCACCAAAGCAGCTATGTCTGTGCTATCCACAGTCACTGAGCAAGAACAGAGGCTCTTTTCTCCTGTGTCCTGAAGGAGAAGAGACCAAAATGGCCTTTCCATTGAACTACTGAGTCTCTTTTATGTCCAAACCTTCTGCCARCTTTGGGAGAAGCCTTTAAGTGAGTAATGCAGTATAGAATCAAACAATGAATATATCTTTCTTGTATTAATATAGAGAAATACTCYCCATTCTTCTTTTATCCTTGCAGTTTATTGCCCTCACTCCCCTAGAATATCTTGCTTAACCATGTGCTTTCTTCAAGACACTAAGAACATCCATCTCACTTTTGTCACAGGATGATATTTTTTGTGCAAATATAAATATTTAGAGAAGTTTACAAAGATTAAGCTTCATCAAGTCCAGCATTTCTGCTAATGCAGTGTTGGAACAAGACAGCAGGGACCAAGAGCCTGGGCTGGTGTGCACAGCTGTTGCAAGATCAAACTGTGGAACATTCACTTTTGATTCCTCCAACTCCACTGATCAAAACCATTTTCAAAGTTGGCCAGAGATTTTTTTCCAGAGTGAAATCCTTTCCATCAAAACAGCTTCTTCAGTGTGCAGGCTTTGTCTCTACCTCTATGTGATTCTCTTGCCTCTGTTTTATTTTTGATTTGCAAATTCCTGATACAGATATAGTACACTTGCTGGAAAAATGAAAAATKAAACCATATTAGAGAAGTTTCAAGGATGCAACCCAGAGCAAAAATAGTGGGAGACCTGCCTGTGGTACTTGTCCTTTGACAGTTTGGGTTTCACTCTGATCTTCAATACCTGRGAAAAATTATGCCAGATTCCATATTAGTGTAATACAGGGAGACTTCAAATGAGACTATCCCATGTAAGTAAGARTATAAATAAAGAAGATGAGACTGTTTGATTTGTGTTGGGGCTTTTTCCCTAGTAAGGTAAAACAAACAGTTATTCCAGAATTTATGCAGCAAGTAAGTAATAAGATTATAGAAATATCTTCAAGGCAAATAGGTTCCCGTGTGTAAACACACCAGCATGTATTTCCTTTAATACTTCAAGGAGCTGTGCCAGTCTTCAGTCTCAAAGCCAGTGACAAACTGACAGTTTGGCTTTCTGCTCCAGTGGGAAATGGATTTGTCATACCAGCTAAAATACTGTGTACTTCTTGGACAGTTCACAAGTGACACCACCGTGGTGATGGTCAGTGAAAAAAAAMGCTGTCTGGCATGTTTTCCTTCAGTGTTGCTTTGCTGCCCCTTTCTAGTGAGGCAGTCACAGGAAATCCACAGGAAATCCTACCTTCCTAGAAAAATATCCTGCTTCCTCCTAAGGATGTGGGAATCAGCTCAACTTGACTGTGGGCAAATCCAAAGAGAATAATCTTTCATAGGAAGTGGCTCAAGCCTCATTGTTTGAGACACTGAAAATGACAGCTGGTTGGTCTGCTCAAGTGCTGGTGATATTTTGGGCAGGACTGTTGGGCTAGGTGACCCCTAGAAGCCTCTTTTAACCAATATTTCTATGTTTTGGTAATCACAAAATCTATCATGTTTTTTTTGGTCTTTAAAATCTGTGCTTCTCTGATAAACATTGGGAGGCTTTGTGTTTGGTTCAATTTTTTGTAAATGATTTTTTTTTCTCCTGAGCTTTTAATTAAAGTACTGTTTTTATTGCATGTTATAAATTATTTATGCTATTCTATGGGAGTGCTAGAAATTTTTAAGCATTCTTCCGGCAAGCTGAATTTTGATCGTTTTAATGCTTTCAATATATTCTTGTAGTTGAACACATTTAATGAACCTAAAGAGGTTATATTAAATTTGGTAATACAATGAGAAATATGCTTAGGGTTGTAGGCCTGTGACTTTGATGGGTAATATGAATGGGCAAATTGAAACTCATCATTTAAATTGCAAATGTAGCTGAAAGTGACTTCATGGTTCAGGCTGAAGTACAAAAAATGAATTAAATTATATATTTAATATCAGAAAGTTATGCTATCTCACACAGCAGTTAGAGGAAAAAAAAAAAGAAAAGAGGGATCTTGGCATTTGTGTACTTAGAAATCTTCTAAATCTCTCTGKGAAAACTGTTCATTGGTTTCAAGCATTTCCTTTCAGGCAAACCTTAAAACTATAAGAATTAGGATCAGAAAAACAAGTTGCTCTGAGATAATTATTATTTTCTATTATTGTGGTAATATGAATGAACTGGAGGAAGCTTTCCAAACCAAGAAGAGGATATAGTCCCTGTTCCAAARCATGTGAGTGTAAAAGGCAGGCTAGGGAAGAGAAGGAATGAAGCTACAATATATAAAGAGCCATGTATATGACAAATTACAGCTGGTAGGAAGTTAYAGCAATTTTTCTGGGGGAGAAGAAAATAAAATTTATTCTTATTTAGGACAGAATGTCTTGGCCAAATGTTTGGGGGGTTTAATGCATTCTTATTTCTAGGATGTTATTTCTATTTTCTCAACATTAATTTTTAAGAGTGGGAAATAAATATTGTATTTCTGAGTTTTAAAAGGAATTTTTTTTGGGAAAAAGGAAAATTGCAGGAAAATTCCACGTAAAAGTTTTTATGAGATTCCAGTTATTTCTGCTGGGTGTAGAAATATTCACATTTATTCCTAAGTAAGTAATTCCCTTCAAACTGGGAGATGGAAAAGAAAGGTTTTGTACTCAAAATCCTTTTTTTTTTGGTAGAGAAATTAGAACAAGTACTTTGAAAAAAAACCCTGAAACCAAAAAAACCAAAAAGTTCATATGTAGGTACACAAAACACTRCAGAAATAAACAGGTGTGTAAATATTATCTTCCCTTATCATTGTGTCCTTGAGAAGAAGGTCCTTTCTTCCAGGTTTCTTTTCAGCTCAATGACTTTCTGGGTTGCTGCAAATTGTGTAGTCCCCCTGGGTCTCAAATGACCCAGTCACTCTCTTTTTAGAGGAACACGCCAAAATACCATGAAACAAACAARTGAGACTAATGCCACAGCTTTCAAGATGAAGGTCCTAGCTGAACTGGTGTTTTTGAGGAATGTGCCTCTTTTGACAGAGAAAATATTTTAACAAAAGAACTTGGTCAAATCCAAAGCATATAAAGTTAATTTTTGTAAGCAACGAAGTGTGTCAGTCTTCTCCCACTGCCAYTTCATCTAATCATTAATTTGTTTTCTATTTAAATGCTTACCAGTAGTAACTTCCCAATTTTTGAGGCAAATAGGAAGAGGCTGTTTCAGCAATGTGTTTCCTTTATTGTCTACTCATTAGAAGAATTGCTGGTTTAGACTAAGGAAGCTTTTTAGGATTGACCTAAGCAATAATTTGAGGCRAAATTGAGAAAGTACGTGGAGAGAAGTGTGATGGAGCCTCTGTAGAACAGATCTGAGTGCATGCCACTCTGACAGCAAGGTCTCTGATGGGCACACCGAGCTCTGCAGTGTATTTGTGACTTCAGCTTGTATAATCTCTCTATATCTAGTTGTATCTCAAGGCTCAATAAACAGAATTGCCAGGCCTGGATGTCCTGACAATTACCCTCCACAGCTGATAACAGGCACATGGAATATTTAGACAAGCATCTGTTTCTGTTTTCAAAATCTGCTACATGATTTTAGCATCACAGAAGATGAGATTTTAACAAACAGTATGTTTCCTTAGGATAACAGCTCTGATTTGGGGATTTTGTTTTTTTGTTGTTTCCTTTGCAGGAAGAAGGTATCGTGAAGGAAATAGACATCAGTCATCATGTCAAGGAAGGTTTTGAAAAAGCGGATCCTTCTCAGTTTGAGCTGTTGAAAGTATTAGGACAAGGTTCATATGGAAAGGTAATTTTTATTGTCATCTAATCACCCAGAGTAACACTGAAAATAKCATCTCTTTTCTCTGCGTTCATTTACGGTTCTAACATTATCCACAGGAACAGGAAGGCAAGATGGAGAGAAAGGAGGAAGAGTCAATTCAACCCTAAAGTTTTTTAAGTAGTTTGAATAAGACATTTAAATAAGACATTTAAATAAGACATTTAAATAAGACATTGAAACCTTTGGAACAGTGAACCTACCTGATACTAGGCATGGAAGTCCTTATAATTGTCAGTATATTATTTTGTGGAGTTTAAAAAATATTTTCCAATCAGAACCTTTAGTTTTATTCCTAAAGGAAGCTATACTGAGAGTATTTATCAACTTCCTGGTTATTCTAGAATTTTATCGATAATTAAATCTGTTAGAACTTCCCTGACAAGAGAGGTATCAGGAAAGTTAATGTTCAAGACCAAGTCTTAAACTCAAGAGTTTCTTCAGAACTCAGTGTATTTGAGTTTTAAATRTTAAATGAATGTGAAAAATCAAACAGCTCAAAATTAAGTTTACYGTGTGACTCAATATAAGGAGAACAAGAGAAGGAAACATCTTTTGCAAAGTAACAGAAGCAGTAGGGCTAGTTTTCATATTTAGACATCAAAGATTTTAGAAATTGTTTGCTGGTTATCTTAGATTGCCTTGATAAATTTTCAGTGTTGTTTGAGATGGCCTTCTAGCCTTAGGTGTTTTTTAAGCAAAATGCCTAGTCTCTGCAACCACTTCCCAAAAGGAGGTCTGATTTCTGGGCCATCAGAGTGTGAGTGTGGACACCATACTTGTCTGGAGCTGAGTGTGATTCCAAATCACTTCCCGTATCGTATTTGAGAAAGGTCAGTGAACCAGAGCAGCAAAGGCACAGGGGAGAGGTTTGCTCTGTGTTTCTTATGCAGTCCCCAGCCACCTAAATTTCCATCACCTTGGTATTTGAGCTAATGGGTCAAATGCATGTCTCTGGGGATACAAAACATTAGATTTTCAAGCTGTCCACCCAAGGCCTAAATAAMTTCTTGCAGGATTAGAGATGATGTCTTTGGTGTCAGAGGGAGTGCCYCCAACATTCTTGAGATGCATAACACTTGCTCAGCTTTTTAGATCAGGTTTTGGGTGATGCACCAGTTGTTCTAGTTAAGGGTGGTTTGCTAGTTCAGGTGCTCATAACCTGAGGTGTCTGCAGACATAACAATCTAGAAAATTTCAGGTCATGCTCAGCCACATGCACAAGCTATGCTGCCAAACTAGGAACTGTACAGCTAATATAATCTGTGAAGTGAGCATTCAGGGCTACTCTGTGGTTTCAAGAATGAAGTAGCCCTACCTCTAAGAGCAGTGTGAAAGATGACATCATTTTGCAATCCAATGCATTTTCATTTGTTCTGTTCCTTTCTGGTTTGGTGATTATTTTGATTTGTCCTCTGAAAAAGAGCACAGTGTTCTTGACTCATCTTTTTTTGGAGGGAACGCAGACAAGTGCCTTATCCCATGCTACAGTGAACAACAGACTAGTGACTAGTAAAGTAAATTGAWAATTTTGCTTATTACAGTAATATGGGTATTACAAGCTTTGCAAGATTATATGGCAATCAAGATATTTCTAAAACTGCAGCCTAATATTTCTGCAAATGCAGCATGCTGTGCTGTTCTGTGTGCAGTGCTGCTGAAAACCATTATCTTAAGGGTTTGGGTTTTGGGTTTTCTGGTGTAAAGAGTCCATAAATGTTTTTGAATAATAATAATACAGCTGAAAATCTAGTGTCTGGAAAAGCTTGCTTTTGACTTTCTCCTCCTTTTCAATGTAATGGAAAAATTAAATCTTTCACTTGACCTGGATAGAAAAATATCCCAGCTTTTCTCTGTAAACTTCTAAATGGATTAACTTCCTGTTAATGCTGGAGCAGCTGAGCTTAATTTATCATGAATATTAACAAAAAACACTTMAGAAAGTCTTACATGTTCCTCTTGCATCCAGATTTCGTTATTTTTTCCTATATTTGTGAGCACTGGAAGTATTTGTATGTTCATCAGAGCAAGTGATGTGTGCCAGAGCTCAGCTGGTCAGGTCAGCTCAGCTGAGCACTGTGCGTATCTCATGTGAACAGGAAACATCTTGAGAAGGAAAGTCTCACCAAAACCCTACCAGATCAAATTGCAGAAGTGTTGCAGCTTTTATGCTGTCAGATATGAGTCCTGATGAAGTTGTTCAGAGAGAATTTACCTTTTTTTAAATTATTATTTCCAGCCTCTGTACCTGCTTGGTTTCAGTCGCTCTGCCTCCCCACAAACCTTCCCTCAGAKGGTGTTTGAGAAAATCTAATCTGTTTACAAACTGGGGTTTTTTAGAAGGAAGAGTCTTTCAGTTTGCAAAAAATGCACTAGAAACAGACTTCCTCCTTCCTCTTTTTTGTTTTTTTATATTTTAGGTAGAGACAGTTAACAAAGCTCAATGGTTCCTGGACAGACAATTAATAAAATAATTGCCACAGAATTTTTAATCCAACTAGATATTCATTAGTTAGATAATTTCACCTAGCCTTTGTTAATTTATATATTAATAAGTAGATATTATGTATGTGGGACTATATTTTTATTTTCACATTTGGCTTTATTTCTGCTTCTGTCCAGTAACACAAGTGCTGAAATTTAAAAAAAAAGAGAGACACTGTTGCCTGGTATTTCTGACCTCAAGAGACAGAGTGTATCCTGGGAATCAGCTAAAAGCTTTATTTTATTTTCAATTACTAAAACATTTATAAATGGTCTTATAAAGACCAAACTGAACTACTTATTCTTTTGCTCACTACCCCTCTTATCTGCACTCAGGGGCAGATAAGAAATATTTGCTTATAGTAAAACAAAAAGAGTACAGTTTTAGCTACAAATTTTATATTAGTTCAATTCAAAATTTACACTGTCAGAAGATGAAATATAGAAGACTATAACATGGAGAACTGTCTTTAATAGCAAGATTTTCAGCTGTATGAACTTTCTGTGTCAGCTGCATCTTAGGCTGCCATTCCTGACTTATGGGATAAATTTCACCAAACTGATTTTTTTCTTTAATCGATGGTAATAATTTTCAGATGCTGCACATTCCCAGACACAAATGAGACTTTTTTTTTTTCGTGTAAAGCTGATCAGAGTATGAAGAGATATGTGCACACTGATTTTAACTTTTTGCCCATCTTTAACTGAATGTATAAGGTCAATTACTAATGCTGATAATGTTTTCTTTGTGAGCTGGTAAAGGCTTAAAACTGAAAATTTCCAGAGCTAGCTCAACCAATTTCAGGTGAAAAAGATATGAAATGCTTTCAKCTAGGAATTTTCATTAGATTTCCTGAACCTGTATCTATTCTCCTATCAAATGCAGTAGGTCTTGTAAGTGGGAAATCAGTACTCATTTACATAAAACATTTGCTTTTTACAGGTATTTCTAGTTAGGAAGATAAAAGGATCTGATGCAGGCCAGCTTTATGCCATGAAGGTACTTAAGAAGGCAACTCTGAAAGGTAACAGCGGCTTCATTTTCTATTTCTGTACTATGCAGTAATTTYTTTTTCTTGCTGTTTTTTGCATTGTTGCTGCCTTGCAGTTTATGAATGTAAAATTCTGCCTCACTGTAGGTGAATGTTCTAATTACCTACAGACTAATAATAAAAGTTTGATAGCAGGAAAACGGGGGTTTCCAGTTTCCCAGCTGCATGCTTTCTTTATTTTCTTGGTGTTACTTTTAGGACTTCTATTTGGTATATATTAATTTATATTGAAGTGTGACTATTTTTCTCTTGCTGAAGTCAATAAGGATATTGCTGAACTAAAACCTGGCTCCAACTGGGCAGAATGGCCTTCCCAGCTGGTGCTTCTCAATGTGTGCCTGAAGAGCCATGAGAACATGTTTTCAAGTGTGAGGAGTCATTCTGAGATTGTTGAGATCATGCTGTTCCTTAGCTCATGGACTGTAGGCGGCCAGAGCCAAATGACTGATGTTTAAAGCTGATCATTCTCTTCTGGGGCCACTGGCTGCTGCAGACTCACTCAGACAAAAAAGAAATTGCTGGTCAAGGCCTGGACAAAAAAGAAAATATATAAATTCTGTCTCAGTTGAATCCTTATGGGTTGTTCCTCCTCAGAGCAAGGAGGATGCAGTTGTCTTGTTGCTTTCCTGACTTAGCTCTGTTCTGTTTTTTCTCTCAGAAGCCTGACACTTTTTGCAGATAAGGTGGAAAGCATTCATTTTGCCTGTTGCAGATATTTTGCTTTGTCTTGGACAGTGTGTGTTTGTGCAATGTGGAGTAGTGCCTAAATTTCTGTCCTAATGTGAAGAATAATAATTTTGAGATAGTTCTGGTCACTTAAAAATCCAGTCTTCTTTAAAATGCCTTGCTTTGGGGAACCAAAATACTAATAAAGCTAGCAGTAATTGCAAGGTAGAACTATTGCAGGTGGTTTCAGGCAGAGCCAGCACCTCTTCTGAGTACTGGTCATGATGGGGAACTGGCACACCAGGCATTCAGACTGTCCTTTCCTCTAAGAAAACCTTTTCAGGGAAGCATTAGTCTGAAGCAATGCTGGTGTGCTTATCTTTTTGTTTGGAATCTCGATGAGAATGTTTGTTCTAGCAGAAAAGCCTGGTGTAAATAARCACTTAGTACTGGGCATAAGACACACACAGGAAAAGGTCAGGCCTGTGTACATAACGTGTGTGACAGAGTCATTCTCTGRCTGCTCAACCAAGAGCAGCACCGTGCAGTGCCCAAACTGAGCTGAACTCAACTGTCAGAGTCTTCCCCASTGGGGAAAAACATCTTCTGATGGTACCTGAACAAGGTCTGTACAATCCCTCAGACATCAAGAAGTACCAGAAACTTRTTTCTTTTGACAACACATAATTTTTTTACTGAAAGGGAAAACTGGGTATTCTCTCTTTTTCTGTGTAGCTCTRAGTGTTTAGCAGAAAGTGCTTTGGAGAAGGGGAGGGTTTCTTTTGCATTCCCAAATGCTTCATTGTTAGTTAATATTTGATGGCCAAATATGTAATGTTAGATTCCACTGTAAATGGAAAGACCTGGCAGTATAAATATGGCAATATTTCAGGAAATCTCAAAATTTAGATAGTGACTTTAAAGTACCCAAAGTGTTGCATCAAGTTTCTATTCTGTCAAAACAGGCAGCTCTTTGCAGTTCTGTGGTTCATAATAGGAGAGAAAAGCTATTTATTGTCTTCTCGAGTGTGGAATCTTGAGATCTCTTTTTGGATCTTCTCAAGATCCAAAAGTTGAGGCTACTTTGTGATTTTGTTGGATAACATTTCTTTCCTGTACAGGCTACTTACCCCTCTGACTGCTAGCTCTGGATTTCCCATTAATCTCAAGATTCTCTAGTTCCTAGAAGTAGGAACTAATTTGTCTGCATTGATTTCTGCAAATAAGTCAAATTTGACAGCTGTTTAACTCAAAGTAAAAATTTAAAGACAGAACTCCATTGGTACAGGGCAAGGGAGATGGGCAACAGCGAGGATGGCTGTCAGTAAGCTTCTATGTAACTTTTGGCACAGGGACAATTTTTCTGACAGCTTAATTTCATCTTTTAAGTGAGAGTGTGGAATCGTTGCTGACTACCTACACTCAAAAAGGCTGGAGGTCACTCCGATGTGAGGTATTTATTACCCCATCAAGCAATGGGGGCAAAGCCTCGGGTAAATGTTAGCATTGCATTCAGCATTTGCTGACAAAAGGCACCGCTRCAAGAGAGATTTCTGAATAATTTTGCTTTCTGACCTGTGCTCTGCACAAGTACTACGTGAAGCAGGAAAGTCAGAGCCCTCCGTGCCGATGTCATTGACATGGCCAGACAGCCCTGAACATCACAGCAGTTATTTTCTCTAGTGAAACACGTCTGCAAAGCAAGTAAATGGATAAGTCAGAAAGAAAACAAAAGAAGTTGGGATAGCAAAGTTTATTTCTTTTCTGGTTTATTAGTCACAAGAACCTATATAAATAAGAGACCTTCAGGAGTGATGGTTGAAAACTAGCTTTGTGCCTTGCTCTGAAGAACAGCCAYAGTAGGTCCCATTGTGGGATTTCCTGTCCTGGGAGCCTGACCTGGCTGCGGCTGGTAATGTTTAGGAAGAGGCAGAASTACAAAATGGTGCTTTCTCCAGTGAGCCTGCTGCCTCCTGCCCCTTTTCAGGGTAATTGCCTGTTAGCATGAGCCCAACTTCACCAGCAGCAAAGGTTATTATGAAAAGGGAACAGCAAGCAGAAGCAGAACTCTTCAAGTGTTTGTAGCTCAAAACCTGTTTTTGGTACAAAAGAGACTTTGTAGATCAATCATGTGTGTAGATTTGAGCTTGAAAAAAAGATCTGCTAATCAGCAGAACCCCTCCTGCTGTGAAGGGAAAATTAGGTTCCATAATATTCCAGTTTAGACTGTAAAAGTTTGCAGAGGCACTTGCTGTACACACAAATATTTGTGAAAATGAAATTAATCTTAAATTCATCAAATTTTATTTTAAACACAGAGTATATTTTAATAAACATGTGTAGCAGCATGGATCCTTGAAAGYGAGAAAGCCACTGTTACTCTTGATTGTAAATGAGAGCATCACACAYAAGCTCCTTTCCTTTCTGTCTCATTTCCTTTTTCAGGAGCTTCTGAATATCTGGTTTTAAAGCAGAAAGCTTTCTGAAGAAACTCAATAAGTGTTTGATTCTGGTTTTTAATTTTAGGAGCTTTGTTCAAAATGTTTAAGAATGTTATGTGTGTTGGGTGCCAGATAGGGTATATATCAGTTTAAGGCTGCATGTATACGTAACTCTAATTTGACTGTCTTTCAAATGCTGTACATTAAATTACAGTAGCTTGGCAAATAAAAACCCTTTAGGAGGCATCTAGGTGCTCAAAGATACTTAGGCACTTAAATACCTTCCAGGAGTGAGACTTTTGCCTTTCAGAATGCATTATATAATGCTCTTAGATACTATCTTAGAAGGTTGCTTTCATGTCTGTGTTACACTCTACCTTTCTCTTTGAAATCAGATTTTTAGATAAAAAATTGAAAGATAATAATATTGTTTAATAATATTGTTCTATGTGTATAAACCTTTGCAGACATATATCAGTGAGTCTCAACTGCCCATCCTGAATAAAMTCTGAACCTGAGGCAACCAGAAATACAGGGAGTGTGTATTCTGTACGTGTGTCTTGTACTCACCAGCAAAGCTGGAACAGAGAGACAGGGCAAACTGATTGTTTTGATTCATTCAGCATTTCTCTCGAGGTGTCTCAGGCTCCATCAGCTTTACTGAATGCACTTCAGGATTCCATGATCAASAGTTGTTTAGATTGGTTACGGTGTAAGCCTCATTAAACACCCATGCAATGCCCATAAATTCTCAGCAGGTTGCTCTGCTGGAATGTAAGGGAGCTTGAAAATCAAAGACACATTCCTCCAGAAAGACGTGCAATCTAAGAGAAAAGTGGCATGGAGCCATAATTCACTGATTTAAYGCTTATGAGCTTTATAAATATTACAGTGATGATGTAGCGAGGGTTATGTGATGGATCATGAGGAAGCAGTTTGCACCTGGCCATCTGCTTGGTAATAGGCTGTATAAGGCTTGGCACTGGAAGCCATTTSACCCTGAGAATGCAATCTACCTGTTTCTGTTTATGAAATGATAACCTGTTTTGTCAAAACCTCTGAAGTGCTCTGCAGTTTACAATCCCCTCAGTTTAAGCCAGCAGGCTTAGGGGGTTGCTGATGTGTGATGGTTACAGGTGCAGTAAGCCGTGAGAACAGCTTTAGTTACACGCAGGGAGCTTGGCTGTTCTTGGGGATGTTGGATCGATGGTATTAATTATACCCTAAATCAAACACCTAACTTAGATGTCACCAGGCAAAGTGGATTTCTGTCTAACCACTGACAGAATTGCAGTAGAGGTTGCCCTGATTGGACACCAACCGAAGTGCCTTCTTCTGTTTCCCTCTGCATGTGACTCAGTTTCCCTGTGACAAATGTGTTGTTGAGATATCAGATGCAGAAGTCCAGTGGTTTTCCTCCGGTTTGAAGGGAATAAAACTCCAACAAAACAAGTAACTGTAGACAATATTACCCTATACCTATGAACCAGGATTCAGAAAGAGTCTTCACCTCAGGTAGAATTAGCTCCATTGTGCTGAAGTTTTCAAGATGCCTTTTTCTGTTTTGTACAGTCCTTGTGTTTGGTGAGAGGCTCTGGTATTCATCCAGTTTCACCATTTAAAATTYGGTTTATTATCTTTTTGGAAAGTACTCTGCTGTATTTTTTTATGTCTTCTTGGGCCTCTTAYTACCTGCTTCTTAAAAATTCACCAGGGAAGTCCTGTCCACAGGACAGTCCAGACCCCACAGCAGAGGTACCCTTGCCCTACAGTTTTGAGGAAAGTTTGTGTGCTCTGGCATCCTTGGAACTGCTGCTTATGTGTGGCTTCTTTGATCTGAGTATTGTTGCCCTCCAAATGTCAGGG